TTAGATCCAGTAAACTTCTGTAGTATTTTTTGCTAGCAATTTAGTAATTTGGAGCATGGTGCCTCAAAAACCAACCCAGAAAGCACAATCAACTTTGAACATCGTTGAAAAACCATTGAAGTTTATGGTTGAAAAATGGTTGATTTTTGGTTGAAATGGAAACGCAAATCAACGTTGAAAAAAACCCGTTAGATCAAAGTTGAAAACAAACCAAAAATCAACATTAGATTAACGTTGATTTAACGTTGATTCAACCAACTTATATAAACCTCAAAAGTTTATAAACCTCAAAAATACAGCTTTTTGCGCCGTGACTCTTTTAGTCCGAAAAAACATTTGTTTTTTGGACAATATTGTGTTGTTATAAGTAAGAAAACAAAAAAAAATTCTTCATAAACTTATAATAGCTGTCATAGTACAATATCTTATGCTTTTGTACTGCACATCTTGTTCTCAATTTTTACAGCTTTAACTTGTTATTATTAGTATTATTAATTTATTTAATACTAACTGCTGTTATAGTATTACAAATAATCTGCCCTGTACCATTTTTTTAACGCAGGTAACTAAATTATAGATATTGAAAAGCAATTATTAAAAGCAAATAAAACCAAAAAAATAATTTATGAATTTTTAGAATAAAAACTTATACAAAATTAAAATTATTTTCAAAACGGTCTTGATAAAATCATGATATCGTTATCTTCAACACCAATATCAAATTCATATGTAATTTTATGGTCTTCTGTCATCAGACTCAATTGAATTTGATGCACATTTTTCACGATCCAATCAATATGGCGAAAACTTCAAACAGTCTAAATTCTATCTTTGTTCATTGTGTCTTTTTATTTAAGAAAATCAGGTTACTGCATCTAAATAAAAATAACTTTAAAGTAAGGTACATTTGTACATTTAACAAGTATTATTATATTTTACATTTTTCACAAGCGAATGTGAACAATGAATGCTTGAATGTGAACAATATATGGTTGAAAAATAACAATATAAATTTCAATGTAATTTCAACTTTATTTCAACGTTTATTTTTCAACGTTAATTCAACGTTTGTTTTTAGTTAAAAATAAATGTTGAATCAACGTTGAAATTTGATTTTAGGTCGATGGAATCCAATACCCGGTTTTCTATTCGAACGAAAAAAATATATAAAAAACGTTACTGAAAAAAGCTCCAAAAAGAAGACATTCGTTCAATAAGTAAAAGTTAAGATCAGTAGGATATCGGTCAACAAGTTGTTGTGCACTGCAAGTAATCTCCAAGATATCCATGCTGCGGAGGTTCACAAGAAAACCAAACAGAGAGTTCAATTCAGAATAGATTTTCTTTTTTTTTTAAATCTATCACTCATTAGTTTGTCCGTGATCTCATTAGCGTCTGCAATCATATAAAATTGCCCAGAAAACACTATAGTTTTCTCACTGTTAATTTCATCATTGTAATGCCTCTTGTGTACTCTTGGGAGCCTATGAACATAGACCTATTCATCCGTGTTTACCAAAGATTTTTAAAAAATTTGAATTTTTTTTTTGTAAATAAAAAGCTTTTTGTTTTACAGCTTCGAAGCCATACGTCATGATATTTACACAAAAATGTATACATTTTATAAAAGCTGAATGTTCAAGCTATAAAATGATGGTATAAAGTAATGTAATTTTTGAAAATGTATTTTTTTCTTTTGTCCAGCACATTGCCCACTACGCTGTGGACTACAAGCAATCTTTTAAATTTATTTAAAATATGATATGCCAATCATGATTTTGTGATAATTTTACATAATTTTAAAAATATAGTTGTAAAGGATCTAGCTTTTTTGATCTTTAATCACAGGGCCGCCGAGAGCCGTGACCCCGTCTGGGACAACGACCCTGATTGGCGCTCTTATTTATCAAGGTTTCCCTATATTATAGATGAAGGACCTTTTTCACTTTTTTTTTTAGGTACCTTGTTTTTTTTGGCGCTCCTTGAATATCTGCCGCCCGGGACAAACTGTCCCTTTCAACCCCCTCCCCCCTCCTTCCTCTCGGCGGCTTTATATAACCATGTCCAAATAAAGTACATTTTAAAATTTTAGTTAAAATATTTTGAATCAAACCGACTGAGCAAACCCGTAAAAAAGTTCAAAACAAGACTTAAATTCTATAAAAATCTTAAATTCTTAAAAAAAAAAATTTTTTCTTTAAGAAAACTTGTTGAAATACAAGCAAGTAGTATAAAACCAAAATAAATTTACATTTATTTCATTTCATTTAAAACCTAAATTATATAGATCTTTGTAGACGAGATTTCATTTTTTAAATTTCCTAATTCGCATTAACTTCGCCTTAAAAAATTTTTAAAAATAACTTCGGATGACTTATTAAAGAGCGTTTATTCAAAAGACGTCACGAACATTCGACCGAACATTCGGCAACATTAAATTATTTTAAGAGTTCCAACCTGCTTCGTTGTATTGCATTAGTCAACTACACACTGTCACAATATTTATTAAACCAGTCAGATATTTGATTACACCAAATATCTGACTGGTTTAACACAAACACATTATCTCTTAACATTGATAAAACTAATTGGATTCTTTTCCATCCTCCTATTTTTTTTTTTTTTTTAATTTGTTATTTAGGTGCCCTAACAAGTCCTAAAAGTCTTGTCACAGAGCACCGCGGAAGTGCATTTAACCAGGAAGTTCACGCCTACTTCCTTACCGTAACGCGAAATATGTCCAAAGTTTGTTTCGAACCTGGATCTCCTGCTTGTAAAGCAAGCGCTCTAACCACGGCGCCACGGCTGCTATCAAAAATATAAACTGCGAATTAACGTGCCTCAATTTGTTATTGACTTTATACAAATTAAAAAAAGTAACAGTAACCAACTTTCTAGATGTTTGTATAAAATAAAATTTAACATGGAAAAATCACATTAAAAACTTATTAAGTAAAATTTCAAAAAGGATAGGAATATTGTACAAAGCAAAAAATTTTTTAAATAAACATACTTTAGTACAATTATATTACTTATTTATTCGTTGTCACATAAACTATGCAAACATTGCTTGGAGTAGTACAATTAAAGATAAACTTAAACCTCTTTATTGTCATCAGAAGCATGTAGCACGTCTATATATATTAACCCAGTGGGCACCGGACCAAAAAAAGACGTCTTTTGAACGTTCAAAAGACGTCCAAAACGTTTAAAAGACGTTTAAAAGACATCTAAAACTTGTATAAGACGTTTAAAAGACGTCTTTTTTACGTCCGTGCCCACTGGAAAAGACCGTTATACTCACGCCAAGCCTCTATTTGAAATGAAAGTTTTTAATATATATATGAACCTAATATTTTTAATATTCTCTGTTTGATGTTTAATTATAAAATCAATTCATTCCCATAATTTGTATTAATCAAAAGATAAAAATAAATACATTTAACGCAATGAATATTTTATTAGGCAGCCCATTTTTCAAACAAATGCTTTTAAATTTTGTATAGATTATCGCGGACGATTCTAATGGAATAAAATAGTTTTTTAAATTTATTATTCATCAAAGTAACAACTTTTCTTTTGAACAAAAGCTTAAAGAACTTATTTTTACAATCTAAGATTTGACAATATACTTCTGATATTTTTTAGTAATCTTCTATTTTACTCTTTATTTAAACATAAATTTATAAAAATTATGCATCATTAACAACTGTAATCTACATATATAATAGATATAACGCATCTTTTATTTATAACAAAATATTTTAAGTTTTTTACATCATAACTAATTTTTTATATTGTAAATATCTTATAAATTGTAATGTAAAATCTTGTAAATACCTGTAATGTAAATGTAATATCTGTAAATATCTTGTAAATATCTGTAATGTAAAAAAAAAAAATATATATATATATTATATATATATATATATATATATATATATATATATATATATATATATATATATAATATATATATATATATATATATATATATATATATCAGCGCTCGAAATAGTTTTTCAAAGTTTGCCGATCAAATGTAATTTTTCACAAAAACAGGTTATTTTTCCTTCGATTTTTCGAAATTTCCCTAAAAATAGCCGATCATTGATCGTTGATCGGCCGTTATTTCGAGCACTGATATATATATATATATATATATATATATATATATATATATATATATATATATATATATATATATATATATATATATATATATATATATATATATATATATATATATATATA